AAGACCCAAAAATAACCTGATGAATTGTCTAGTCCAAATCTCTGAGTAATTTCTCTGACTTCATCATCTTTCCTCTCTTCACTTGGCACTCAACTTCCTCCTAACTGCTCAATATCCCCCCCAACTCAACTCTTGACTTTCTGTTTTGCCCGTTAATTCATTCATTCATACACCCAAGACATATTTATTGAGTGTCTTCAGTGCCCCATTCTTTACACTGAAGTTACTGCAGTGAACAAGACAGACCAGGTCTGTTCTCTGAATTGCTTTCACTGCCTAGCTGGGACCACGTCCATTCTCAAGGATTTGACTTCACCTTTGTATGACTTACTACGTGTTTATCTCAATTGTCAGGGATTGTGTCTGGAGTTTCAGCCCCACATCCTGCCTCATGATCATGTCTTGCCAGTACCTCAAACTCAACATGTCCTGGACCAAACTTATCCTCTTCCTACCCACACCAGTTCTTTCCCATGACTTCTCTGTTTGTCAATGGTATCATCATTTCCCAGTCACCAGGCACAAAGCCTCAGAGACACCCCCAGTTGCTTCCTCTTCCTCCGTTCCAATACATCATCCAGTTCTGTCTATTCTTCTTCCTTCTGGTCAAGTGCTTTTCACATCTGTCATTTCCTTTCCTCACCCACTGCCATGAACTGAGTTCAGATTCTCATTTCAAACCTGGGCCGTCGTACCTTCTTACAGTGAAATACTGTGTTCTGTCCATTCACTTCTTCCGCTAAAGCATCCTAATCATTGCCGCCTAATTAATCTTAGGCTCATGTCAGAGAGTACTATAGGTGTTATGTAGACCAACTTCTATCTTTCTAAAGTACTTCTTTCAAAACCATTTTCCTACCATCACATTCTACAAATACAATACAGTTTCAACTCCTTGATTTGGTACTCAGAACCATCCATGATCTGGCCTCATCTGTCCCTGTCTGAGGATGCAACCTCATGATCTTTCTACACCACTGCCTCCCCCTTGGATCTCCTTTCTCCTCCCTCTGTCCAAGATTGAAACTACTTCTCTCATTCCCAGAAATGTATATTATAGCTCAATGTTCAGAACATCTGTTTTGGAGTCAGACACATCCAGTTCAAAACCCTGTTCTTCCAATTAAAGTTGTGCAACCTTGGAATGGCTACCTGACAGCTCTATGTCTCAGTTTTCTTATTTTACAAAAATGTGGGGAAAAAACCTACCTTGTGGGAGAGTTGTGAGGATTGAGTGAAATAATGCTGATCTCATGATACATGATCGATCTCACTGTCAAATATACTTGCCAAGCAGCTGGAATTCCAAGTGACTTCCCTAGTAGTGAAAGTCTCTAATGGGGTCAACGTAACTATGAGCACTCCTTAAATATCTGTAGCCTCAGGCTGACAATGAGGTAGGAATCCCATACCCATGTGCTTTCCTGCTCTGTGTGATGGTTACCACTATTTCTGCTCAAATAGCACTTTTCTCAGAGAGGACTTCCCTGGTCCCCACCTAAAATTCCCGTACACCTTCAGTCCATGTCTGTACCTCTATCTTCTTTATTTTCATTGCAGCACTTTTCACTACATGAAATAATCTGACTTTCTTGCTCAATTCCTTGTCTGCCTTCATCTCAGAAGTTGAGGTCCATGTGGGCAGGGTCTTGGTCTCATTCCTCGTTCTGTCCCAGCATCACCAACAGTGTCTGATGGAGTTGAATAAATGCATAAACGAATGAATCTCTGCCTCTCCAAAGTGTCTGCATCCATCTAACCCAGCTCAGATCCCTCCCCCCACGAAATCTTGTGAATAACCCAGTCTACAGTAACTTGCCCTCATTTGAAGTCCTATAACAAATCCTTAGCTAAGTTCAGTTGAATCCCTATAGCCATTGTCTATGCCATGTTCTGCTTGTGACGTTTCTTGGTTTGTATGTATTTGTATGTATTGTATGTATTTGTATACAGCATTATTTCTTGTATGTGACATTATCATTCATACCTTGTATGATTATTTACCATATTTCCTGAATCAGACTATAAACTCCTTGATGTCAAGAAATATTTCCGTGCATCTACTAGAATGGTTTAGCACAATACTTTACATGTGATTCATCAATAAAAATTCATTTATTTATTGACCTCTAGTATATATCTGGCACAATTTTAGATGCTAGGGATGCAATGATGCATACAGCACCATCTCTAAGGAATTAATTGGGTAACATTATTCAATTATCTCAGTGTATAGATTAAGAAGAGGTGGCTTCTGTCTCTCTTGGAAGGCATTAGAAGGCCTGTTCCAATCAGAGACTGTCACTTGTTGGCTGAACAACCTCAAGTGGCTCACTTAAATTCTCAGAGCCTCTCCTGATCTGTTAACTAGAGACGATAATACTTATCTTACAGAATTGTGAAAGAGACATGTGAAGACACCTTATAAACTGCTGAATTCTATGTAAATATCAGTTGTTATTACTACCTCTATAATATCCTAATTTAAGCTGAAACTGGAGCCATCAGGAATAAAATACATTCAACAATACTGTCAATGTCTTATTAACAATATTGTCCTACACAAAGATAATAAGAAACCCTATTCTGTCTGCCACAGTGTACTTGGTAAGGATCTTTGAGTAGGACCTCATGTTGCCAGGTTCCCCTCAGGCCCAGCATTCTGAGGGGTGACTGCTGCCATGTCAGAGAGAATGCCTGTGCCGCACAGAGAGTTTTACCTGCTGCTGGAAATGAGACAGGCTGTGGAGCCATGAGCCTCATCCAAAGTTGCTGTCTAGGTTTCTATAATATAACTATTCTTAGAATGCCCAAATCTTTCTCTTCAAAGTCCCCGTGCACTGGCCTGCTGTGGGTTGGGGATCCGTGAACCTGGCAGTACCACCATCCATGGTCAGCCATTTGATGGATATCAACGTGCCTCGTGTACAAGGTGTGTACTCCCATTTGGATCCACATGTCTCTCAGTGAGTCACCACCTTTCTTTCCTCAGCTTCCCAATTAAGGGTCACCACCACCTCCCCCCCAACTCAGGCTGGCTTTCCAATGTGTCTGTTCTGAGTTAGGCAGTTCTCCCTTCCCACCTCACCCCTCCACCAAGTCCTGGGCTTGCTGCTTCAACACACAGCACTGATGTGGGAAAGACAGGTCCACAGGTGATATTGTCTCTTTGTAAACAGTTTCCACAAATCACCTCCCACTAGGAATCACAGAATCTCAGAGATGGAAGTGGAGGCTCCTCCCACCCGGAACAGGGCTGCCCTTCAGAGCCTTCCTGACAGGGATCACTTAGCCTCAGCCTTGAATATCCTGGATGAGTCAATGGAGCATTTCTGACCTTGCCTCTGAGCCAATACCTCTTGCTGAGTGGATGCCATGACAGAGCTTGCCAATCATTCGGTCACTGATGAAGCAGCAGCCAAGAAGCCAAGCTTCAATTTTCTCAGAGCCTGGGTGTGTCCACAGAGGCCCAAGTGTCCCTTCCCCTGGGAGGTGGTGATTTCTAAAGAGTCAAATATGACACTGAGTCTGAGGCCATGGACTTTGGAGTCAGATAGACCTCAGTCTGACTCTCATCTCCCTCCCTCGTCATCTGAGCTCCTTGGGCATAAACCAGCTGTGCGACTTTGGCCAAGTCACTGAAACTCTTTGAACCCCAGTTTCTTCACATTTAAAAAATGGGGAAAGAAAAGTCTCTATTTTGAGATTATTGTGAGGGTTCAAGGAGATAATATATGTAAAGTGCCTAGCCTTATTCGTGGAACAAACAAATGCCCAATGAGTGGTAGCTATTGTTACTATTATGATCACGTTATTGTTGTCTCTTCCATTTTGAACCAGTAGACACCACTGCCATGGACGGTGTTCTCCTGGTTTCCTTTTTTTGGAAATGAGTGGGTAAGATTTATGCCCTGGGGTTCAGACCTACTCAGGACGACCCCACTGCCCCCATCACAACCACCTCCAGAGAATGACATTCCCACATTTCTGAGCGTGGCATGTTGCACCCCACAGAGTCTCGGAAGCCCATGGCTTCTGGTCAGGCCTCAGCTGCACGGATGAGGCCTGGACAGGGAGCTTCCCAGTCTCCTGGAAGGTTCAGCTTGGAAAGGTTTCCTCAGCCAGCAAGCAAAGCAGTGAGTCGATGAAAAAGTCTGCAGCAAAAGTCTCAGCTCACCTGATTCCAAAGCCCCCAAGAGCTGCAGATCCAAACATATGCCACACAGCTGCCTGGGCCTGAGTAGGAGGGTGAGGCTCTGGAAGGGCGCGGGGGACCAAGCAGAGCAGCTGGGAGCATAAGCCCTGGAGTCAGGCACGCAGTCTTCTCCATCCTGCACTGGCTGAGTGACTTTGAGTAAGTTACTTATCTTCAGTTTCTCTCCTGTAAAATGGGGATAAGAGCACCTACCTCACTGAGCCATTGTGAGAATGAAATGAGATGACACGTGTCACATCAAGTCTTTAGAACGCTGCCTGGCTCCATGTGTGATTTCCGCTGCATAGTTAAGTACCAGAAAGCCGCTCTTGTTCAGGCATGAATTTTAATTTTCCCCCTTTTACAAATATGCCAAGCCAGGGCTAAGTGAGAGGTGGTGGATGGAGTAACAGAACACAGAAATACACAAATAAAAGAACAAATAGGAAAGGGGGTGTTTTCAGGAGGTAGAAGCTTTATTACGACATGTCTTCAAAGAACAGTCAAATCAGTAGGCATTTATAGAACAGCTACTGTGTGCACACCCCTGCACACAGTAGGGTCCAATGGACCCATGAAGTCCAGTGTCCCACTCATGGCTCTCAGGTTCCCAGGGAGGAAAACCACACGGGAGTCAGGGAGTTTTGCGGGGCTGAGAACAGGGTGGGTTTCTGAACATCCAAGTGCAGTTAGCTTTATGGGGGCAAACTCTGCCCCCCATAAAGGAGGCAGAGAGAGCAGGTCTCCTGGGAGCAGCAGGCCGGGCGATCTCCGGGCTGGGCGGGGGGCTCTCCCGCAGATCCTGGGAGCAGTGGGGCCCTCAGCAGCCGCCGCAGCAGCCGCCGCAGCAGCCGGACCGGCTGGAGGCCTGGGATCGCTGGCTGCCGCCGCCGCAGCAGCCGCAGCAGCTCCTGCGCTGCCGGCGGCGCCTCAAGGGAAAGCAGCAGCAGCTGGTGGAACTGGAGCCGCAGCAGCCCGAGTCGCCGCAGCAGCCGCAGCAGGACGACGAGTCAGAGGGCGCCGGGGCGGGACACGGAGCGGGGCCCTGGGAAGACCCCTTGGAAAAGCTTTTGGCGGAAGCTGCGGTCGGCTGGGAGGACATCGCGAAGCTCGTCACGGAGAACCTGGAAGAAAAGCAGCTTTTCACACACGAGTAGACTTTTCTTTCCAACAAATGGAACTCAGGGCTTTTGAGATTTGACTTTGTGAGCAAGAGAGCCTGGCCTGGTGCGAAGGGGATAAAAGCACCAAGAAAGAGGGGAAGCAAAGAAAGAAATCCCAAACAGGTGTTTGCAGTGAGTTAAACATGCAGGAAACAGTCTATGCAGAGAATCAATGGTTTGCCATCTTCTCTGACTAGAATGAGGACCACCCAAGTTCTCCACAGAGGGGAATAAAGACTATATTGTGGCAATTTATCTGTATGATCCAGTCAGTCCAAAATCTTCACTGGCCTCTTTTCCCCTCCCCCATTTCACTGTGACCACAGAACCTTCAAGTGATATTCACATAGTTAGTATTGTATTGGTGGTCTAATGGTTAAGCATAGATGCTCTTGCTGCTGGGGCTAGGATTCTTCCTGGTCAGGGAACCACACCACCCATCTGTCAGTTGTTGTACTGTGGCGGCCACATGTTGCTGTGATGCTGAAAGCTAATGCTGCTGGTATTTCAAATACCAGCAGGGTCACCCATGGTAGACAGGTTTCAGCAGAGCTTCCAGACTAGGAAGAAGGGCCTGGCCACCCACTTATGAAAAATTGGCTGTGAAAACCCTATGAATAGCCACAGAGCATTGGCTAGTATTGCACTGGCAGGTGAGAGGATGCTCCATCAGTTAGAGAATAGCCAAATCACAGATGCATCCCTCTGCCTGAATCTAAGGAATCCACAAAGTCCTGGTCATTTTTTCCTGCCTCTGCTTCTCATTCCCCACAGCCACCAGGAAAAGGAGAGTGATGCAGAGGATGGAAATACATCCCAATCCAGAGAGCCAAAATACCTGGGTTCTAGCCACATCTCTGCTACAGACTTGCTGTGTAATCTTGTAAAAGTCACCCACACCCCAGTCTGGCCTCCATGACCTCATAGGGACCATGAGAGTCTGGCTTATTTGAAGCTTAAGGCATTTTCCAGGGCTCTTGTCCTTCCACATATACCTACTGGCTATCTTCTGCCTTCTCCCCTCTCTGCCTTCAACTCTTCCCAACCTCCTCCACCAGGCCCTGCTTGGAGACTTACCAGACCCTGGCTCCACTGGAAGACTCACTCTGTTCTCCAACTGGAACAGGCCACCTGCTAGGTAGTGGACTGAGCAATGTCCAGCCAGAGAACCTTTTATAAGATTCCACAGGCCCTGGCTCTTGGGAGGGGCCCATTTCCCAATAGACATGCTCACCTGACACTCACATCCCAGAGACATTCATCACTCAGGAAGCACCGTAGGTGGTGCACGTGGGTATACAAGTCACTTCACAGAGGTGCCAGGATTGCTGTGGCATGTTTACTTTCCAAACAGGACACTGTTCACAGCTGGGAAGGCTATGCTTGCTCTAAGAGAAGCCATGAGGGCTCAAGTGTGGAGATGTCTGGGACCTTTTCATGGGACGCATTCTCTTTGCTCTTTTCTACAGTGTAAATGCACACACACACACAGGTGCACACACATAGCTCCCTTGGTTCACACATCCATCTCTGTGCAGTAATCTACTTGGTACTGGTAGTTCACTTACTTGTTATCTTGGTTTGCATCTCTCTGGCGCTTGGTCCTTGGCTCCTCAAGTCAGGCCACACACTATGTAAAAAATCTGCTGGGTTTCATCCAGACACTGCCAGATGGGTTTGAGTAAAGATGGTGGTATGGATGTGCCTGTGGGAATCCCAGTGGTGATATCTCTCTGTCACTGGACACAGGAAGAAAAACTCAGGCAAAGTTATGGAACAATTAAGACCAGAAAAGCTGTGAATGTGGTCAAGTTCCCGTATCCCCATACAGCCCTGGTGGGCCTAAGACAAAATGTATAGGACACCGGTCCAGTTGCAAAGAGCCAAACTAGCCCACGGGACTCTCTGCTCCTTACCCCACACCCAATCTCCTTTTGAAGATAGGTTCTCCGTGGGGCCACTGCCCAATGGAAATAGAAAGAAAAAGAGAAGGAGGGAAAGAAAGAAAGGAAGGAAAGAAGAAGGAAGGAAGAAAGACAGGAAGGCAGGAAGTAAGGAAGTTCTTTCCTAAAGTCCAAAGTGTCCATGAAAAATGGTGCTTTCACATGTGTGTGGTGATGGATTCTAATTAGTCTTTGGGTGGTGAACATGATGGAATCTATGCAGAAATAGAAGTATAGTGATATACACCTGAAATTTACACAATGTTATAAAGCAATGTTACCACAACAAAAAAAAGAAAAATGATGCTTTCAGAATAATTAATTTTTAGGAATTAGGAGAGACTTTTGAGGTCAACTGGCTTCATAACTGCTTCTTAATCCATGCAACTACTGACAACCATGAATATGAGTTATAAAAGAAATCCAAAATTATAAAAGAAATCCAAAACTAAGAATTTAAGAACTGATGGTAAGGATAGATTGGGGGCCGAGTGAGCTGGTAGTGGCATGAGGGAACAGACAAGAAAAGGTAAGTCACAAAAGACACCAGTTTCGTTTAACGTGGCTTTAGAGCCTGATTAACAGGTTGCGTGTACCTAGGGGCACCGGTTGGTGCCGAGTGGACATACTCACTCGGTTGGTGAGTATGGGTGAGACATTCCAAGAGGTGAGGTCAATATTAGAAAAGAGAAGGAAGTAATGAAGTAACAACATGAAGGCAGGATCTCCTCTGGGAGATGATTTGGGCAAGTACATGCTCATTACATGGACTTGCTGTGCCCTCATATACTAACTCACTTTACCCATCACTGTTAACTCTTATCAGAGGAAGGGCTAATTGTTCATCTTGTATATAAAAGACTGGTCTGGAATTATCATTTCTATTGCAAACTTTCTGAGTATCTCCTGAAGGAATCATTCCTAAAGGAAATTCCATTCCTAAAGGAAATGGAAAACCCAACACAGTGACCAAAGCCCCCTGTTCCCACTCCCCACACTACAACCACACCACAACCACACACACACACACACACACACACACACACGTACACACCACATGGAGGCAGTCTTTGGCAGAGGAGGGTGTCCTTCATGGCTCTCTACTCACCTGAAAACACAGGCTATCAGGATCCAGGGAAAATGGGCTCAGACCTTTATTCTTGCCTCCTAAACTCACTCTCCCAGAAACCAATCCCCCACCCCCTCCCCTCTCTAGCCAACTGAGGAAGCACCTGGGATTATAATAATCAAAAAAGTAAAGGGCATCCATTCATTGGAGCCTAGAATGAGCACTTCAGGCGATCTTATTCCCCATAATTAGGAGATAAAGTCTTTTTTAAACTATCACCCATGCTTGAAGGAAACCCTCCCAGAGTACCTCATCTCACTGTGGCATTTCTGGGTACCACCATCTTCCTCTCCAAAAACCCAATCCTGACTCTCCTCACGCAAGGCTTGTGACAGGTAATGGTCTCAGACATGATTCTTTCCTTCAAGCTTAAAGTTCCCAAATTCAGAGCATAAAGGGAATACTGCTTCCCAGAGGTCTAAGTGGCTTCAGTGCCCAAATCTGCTTCCCACACTGATTTTTAAAGTGTTCACTTGAACTTAACAGAAGGGAAGGGGAGATGGCTTGATGTGGGGGGTGGAGAGTGAGAGAGGTGAACAAAACATCATCAGGCAGCAGTGACATCAGGAATAAAAAGCTTTATTGTTACGGAGAAAACAGCTGCGTAACTAAACTCCGACACCAAGTACTCCAAAGAACTATGCCTGAGGAGAAAAAGGCCGGTGATTACCAGAGGTTAGACCTCTAGACCTCACAGTGGAATGAACGTGGGCAAGGAGAAGAGGAAAACTCAGAGCATTTCAGAAGCCCTTCCATGGGAAACGGGAGAAGAGAAGTCTCGGGCTAGGCAGGTCGTTGGCACTTTGGCTCCTCCGATGCTGCTCCTCAGTGCTCCTCATGGCCCAGGTCAGCAACAGCCCCCAGAGCAGCCGCCAGAGCCCCCAGAATTCTGGCTGCTACCACTACCACAGCAGTCAGAGTTCCGATGTTGGCGTCGAAAAGATCGGCGGGGCCTGTGGTGGCTCAGGCAGCAGCCGCCACCCCCAGAGCTGTAGCAGTCCCCACCCCCAGAGCTACAGCAATCCCCAGAGCTGGGGTTACAGCAGGACACTGGAGGTGGACAAGGGGCTGGGCACATGGGGGGGCATTTGGGGGGACACTTGGGAGGACACTTAGGAGTACACTTGGGTGGACATTTTGGGGGACACTTGGGAGGGGCTGGCACTGCTGCTGGCTTTGCTGGCAGGACATCTCAGCAGGAGCTGAATGAAGCTGAATGACAATACAGAAGTTTTGAATTCAACTAGCCCGAGGTAACCCCCTTGCATTGAAAATTGAATTATGAATTCACAAGATTTCATCTTTATGATGATTAGATTTTTAAAACCCAAGCTCCCAAAATCAGTTACAAGAATTGTGCAAAAGATTTCAACCTAGGAACTCCATAATTTCAAATGAATTCCTTGAAACTTCAAAAAGACACCAACCCTTCTTTCTCTTCCCCTACCTTCCACCCTCCCCTTCCAGCAGAACCCTCCCTTCCAAATCCTCTTTTCTCCTTGTCTTTCTTCAAGATTGTCCTCAGCCTCCACCCAGGGCTTCTCTCTGCCCAAAACACCAGCACCAAGTGTTCCTCCTGGTCCTCGAGATGCACTTTACCTGGTTCAGGCTCTGGAGCAGATCACCCAGGAGACAGGTGGACTGAAGTGCTGTCAAAAGCTTCCACCTTTTATATGGGTTCAGCTCTGACCTGGTATCAGGAGGTGCAGACCATGTGCGGGATGCTGATAGCATCTTTCATAAGGGGCACGGGTGACTACCCACCCCTCACATCCCAAGGACCCAATTCCTCCCTCCATAAGTATCTCAAGTATTAACCCACGGGAATATCCCCTGAGAACTGCAGGCCTCTAGGATAACGATGGAGCTTTGCAGATTGCACACAGCATCTCTCAATCTCACAGGCAGCTCTGCTATGCTCCCTATTTCCTGAACTGGATCAGTAGGGTTCTAGGCCTCCGGGAGGAAGAGAAGTTCTCTTTTCTCTTTGGTATAGGAAATGGAGGGGAAAATTCCCAAGGTGGAGATTAAATGGCCCTTTTTAGAATAATGATAGAGATCTAAAATAAAATGCTGGGCCCAAGTCAATGAGGTAATGTGGCTTTTTCATTCTTAAATGATGCCATAACCTGGACTAAGAATGCTTGATAGCTCAGTGATGTTGTTTTAGGCACATCTAATGCAGATGGTGGGGGTGGTTGGCCTTCACTCCTTACCTGAATTTGACCCACCAAAAGAGTGTGCAAATAGCACTTATTATCACTAACAATTCCTTTGAAAGGGCAGAAGAAGTCTAGGAATGGCTTCTCTTTACAGGTGTAGTCCTAAAGAGAGCATCTTTGGCTGGCCCAAGGTGAGGTGGCAGAGACCAGATGTATGCTGAGGGTGGAGCAGGAAAACTAGACTCGTATGGAAGTTGCCAGAGGTAAGTCATCAGTTTTGGTCATCCCTAAGAAAAACGCATCCGACCTGGAAAGATCCTTTTTGTATAAATGACCTTTTTGTATAAACGACCTTCAGATTTCGGGGGGAGGGGAGCACACAGTTTTTGCAACCCCATGACAGAATCCAAAGCTTTTCTCCCTACAAACAATATTCTGAGGGCAAGTTAGGACCCCAGGAAAGTCATCAAAGAGTTAGCTGAAAAGGTGGCCAAAATATGGCATATTCACAATGAAAACTGCAGGGAGAGGAAGTCAGACAGAGAGAAACATATGACAGCTCAGCTCCAAGCTGGGCTAACGGGCTGCGATGAGAAACATATGGCTTACTTATAACACAGCTTCTGGAGGGAGACTGTCTGGCATCAGTTTCCAGCTTTGCAAATTCAGGCAGGTTGCTTAATCATTACTATAAAAAGGAGCTAATAACAATTCCTAGCCCGCTAAATAAAAGAAAATATAAAATTCTTAGAATGGTGTCTGGGACTCTTAGTTCAAAATGCTAGTTTAAAAAGAATCTAATCACTATGGATACTGTTATATTCATAAGAAAATATCTTTTAAGTTTCCAATTACTGATCTGCCAATTTTTGGAGCCAAAACTAGTTTTTGCAATGTCAGAGCTTAGCCCTAATATTTTCTTACAGCAAAATATTAAGAGTGCTTACTTGCCACTGGGGGATGAGATTACAAGAAAGCATAATCATTATGAAAAAATATAAAAAAAGGAGGAAGAATTTAAAATTCACTTTTAATCCCATCCCCCAAATATTCTTAATATTTTGCTACTTTCCTTCCAGTCTCTTTTTTACTTTTCCCAGTCTCTTTTATTTTATAGTTTTTTAGTGATTTGTGTTTTGTTTTGACTTCACGTAGTCCTTATCATGGTACTTATAAGAGTTTATCTTACTAACTTTTCACTTAATATTTTAACGTAAACATTTCCCATGTTGTTATTCATTCTTCATAAGCATTATTTTCGGTAGCCCTAGAACACGTCATGGAGGGCACAGACTCCATTAATAAGTGGTCAGGAGCATGAGTCTTAGAGCAGGCTCTGTGTTTGAATCCCAGCTCCCCACTTGTCAGCAGTGTGACAGTGGATCAGTGACATGAGCTCTCTGTCTCGCTGTCCTCATCTGTGATATGGGGAAAGTAATAGTGTTTATCTCATTGTATCATTTGCAGGGTGAATGAGTTAACATCCATAAAACTCTTATAATAGTGCCTGGCACATAGTAAGCACTCAATGGATATTAAAAGTGAAGCCTGATGCTGTGCCCCTTCTAAATGTCAGCACACAGAGGATGGGGTGGGCTTAGATAAATACCACCAGGTGGGGAGGCAGGAAGGCTGCTTTGGCTGCTAGAGCTCTGTGCATGGGGGATCCACCTCTTCCCCTTTGCTGGGAAATATAAGAACAGATGCATAACACAGGCTCTGAATTTCTGGAAAAAGAAGCCCAATAGAAGTTAAAGGAATTACCCATTCAATACATGGATATGATGAATTTTAAAAGGAACAATGTCTGTCCCCTTTTACTTGTAATTATTTGGGTACATGGCCACCTAGCTGACCACACGGTAAGGTCTTTGCGTTTAGTACTTTGCAGGCAGTAGACACTCAATTTTTATTTCCTTGTTGAGTTGAATTGGCTATTCAGTAAGGAGGACGGATGCCTCCAACAAATCCAAACCCAGATTTTCATTAACAAATTCCAGACATTTCATGGAATATAGACTAGAAGATGTGGAAAGGACCTTGGCCATCATTCAGAGACAGTGGTTCTCAATCCCAGTGAGGCCTGACATTGACATTGTCAAAAAAAATAAAAATAAAAAGTTCACTGGGTGGTTCTAATGTGCAGGTAGGATTGAGAATCACTGACTTAGAGCACACATTTTATTTTACAGGTGTGGAAACTGAGGTTCAGAGATGGAAAGAAGCTTCCTCTGGCTCACTTAGGGAGTAAGAGGCAGAGCTGGAATTCAAATCTCCATCACAGCACCCTGCCTCTTAAATATTTTATTTCTTCTTGTAATTTTTTTCTAGCAAGCTTCATTTTGTATAATTTGCTTGTTAAACATGGCTGTTGAAGTTGGAATGAAAATAGTGATAAACATGGTGTATCATTGGCTGAATTGGATGTTTAGAAAAGTTAGAAATAATCTTGATCACTACTGCTCTAAATAACCAGGAATTGAGTACCTATGTCTGAAAGGCGGTGTCTTGCATCACAGAGGTTGGGCCAGCTGGCAGGCCCCCAAGAACCCTCCCCAGGATGGCATTGCCTTGATGACGGTTCCTTGGCCCAAAAGTTCAACCTTGTCCATGCCTCTGAGCTCATCAGTCTTGGTGGTGCTGAGTCACTGCAGCTAACTCACGAGAGACTGATGCATCAATTTACAAAGAGAAACATGAGTATCAAATGTTGACCTGATGGATACATTCTCTTCCTGTAGGAAAACTCCTAGAAGAAGTCAAGTCATAATCTGGTTGTGCTCAGAGAGGTGAGGTTGCATAATGGCCTCTGGTTTTGATGGTGAAAGAAACTAGACGTTCTCATCAGCTCATCTAAACACGCTTAGCCCTGGACAGATTTGGGTGGCCCTGAAAACATCTGCTTCCTGGCTGCCCCTCCTCTGCTCCTTTGTAGACCAACTCTCCCACTGCTAGATCTTGGGTTAGGAACCACATCTGGAGGGGGAGCTTTGCTGAGTGAAACTCTCATCCACGACGTGCTGATTTTGGAGTTTAATATTGGGAAGGTAATTTTATTATCTATTTATCTTATTTTCATTACTCATTATTGGCCTGCTGCACACTGCAGTAGACAGAATAATGTCTCTCCCCCAAAGATGGCCATGTCCCAATCCTCTGAACCTGTAAATATGTTACCTTACACTGAAAAAAGGACTTTGTGGCTGTGCTTAAGTTAAGAATTTTGAGAAGGGAAAATTGTCTTGGATTATCCAGGTGGACCCAGTGGAATCGCGGGGGTCCTTATAAGAGGAAGGCAAGGAGGGTCAGTGTCAGAGAGAGGCGATGTGACAATGGAAGCAGAGGTTGGAGTGATGCACTTTGAAAATGGCTATGAGCTAAGGAATGTGGGCTGCCTCTGGAAGCTGGAAACAACAAGGAAATGAATTCTCCCCCAGAGCCTCTAGAAGGAACAGAGCTCTGCCATCACTTGATTTTAGCCTAGTAAGACCCGTGTTGGACTTCTGACCTACAGAACTATAACAGAATAATTTTGTGTTGCTTTAAACCACAGAGTTTGTGGAAATTTGTTACAGTAGAAATGGAAAACTAGTACACACACCTAGATTTAAAAAATAGCTTTGAGTTTCACAACATGTTTTAATTACTTAAAATGAGATCAAATTTATTAAAATTATTTCCATTGATGTCTGGAATTGAAGGCTCACATCTCTGAGTTTGACCGGGTGTCTGGCCAAGGAGAAGGTCAGTGAAGAGACAACAGAGAAAATTCTCAAAAATAAACAAAGATGCTGCCTGGGCTTACCCCAGCTCTGTCCCTCACTAGCTGTGTGACGTCTCTGAACCTGTTTCCTCATCCACCAAATGGGGATAATAACAGTGCCCATCTCACAGGGTTGGTGAGGATTCCTTGACATAATGCCTATGAAGCCCTTAGGCCTGGATCTAGCGTGTAGGATGCTCTCAGTAATTGTTAGCCTTTCTTATTCTTGTCATTATTACTATTGTCTTCATCAGTAGTAATCAGTGATCAGAGGAAACCCAGAGATGTCAGGACTGTTGAAAGGATTCTCAGGCCCCTCTTCTAGCCTTACAGCTCCCAGCAACCTACTTTCTGGATCAAGGCTTGACAACTTCCACAGAGGAGGATGGACAGATTGCTACCACTTTGGGCCTATTTGAATTGTCAAGACACTACTTGTACTTCTTCTCAGCCAAAAAAAAAGAACTTTTTATTCTTTCCCCCGTGGAGAGCTTTTTACTATTTATATGGTGTTTTTGCATTCATGCCTTTATTTGAATCTTTACAATAACTCTATTGGGTAGAACTCTATTCTCCCTGTTATTCAAAGAGAAAATTAATCCTCATAGAGGCCAAGCAATTTGTCTAAGGTCACACAGATTAGAGAGGTGCCAGGCTTCAACCCCAGCTCTTTGGGCTCTAGATCTTATGCGTGGTCCTCAAATCACAGTTCCTTTTAGCCCAGTCTCTGTGCACCTGTCA